AGGCTGGGCACTGGAGGGAAGTTTCAGAAACTCAGCCCCTTGGAGTCTTGTGCTCACTTCTCATGCCCACATCTCCAGTTCCAAAAGGCTGCAGAGGAGCAAAGAAAAAGATAACCTTTGTCTTCTGGCCTGAGGCAGCTCTGAACATGCCAGGCAAGGCTGGGGTGAGGGCACGTGGCTGGGCTGAGGGGACTCTCAGTAGAACCAGGAGGTGAGCTGCTATGGTTTCCAGAGCCTGTCTGGGTCATCCCAGTGCCTGCAGCAGCCAGCAGGGACAGGTGCAGCCCTGGGGTGGCGAGAGGCACGCCCTTGCCCCCATCTTCCATGTGCAGCTGACATGTGGGTCTCTCCCGAGGACACAGGACACCAGAAATCCAGGCTTCTGAGCTGACTCAAGCCCAGGTCCTGACCACTCTGAGCAGAGTCTAGGTATCCCGGGTTTCCATTCCTCATGTTGACCGGTGTGTTCGGTCTACAGTCACCTCTCCTCCATATGGTGGACAGATCATCTCTTCTGGTGACTGTAGCTCCCAGGACTTTTGCTAAGATGTGGGGACTTCTCCTGTTCTTCTCTCTCTTTTGGATACTGGAGCTGAAGTCCTGCATCTTGAACCTTGAATTAAGAAGGCCTATGCTTTTCTAACTTGCCATATTTTCCTCACTGGATACCCTGGATAGTGCAGCATCATTTCTTCAGTGCAGATGTTTGGTCATGGGCTCCTTCCCTTCAGGGTCTGTGATGTCCTGGGAGTGCTGTGTACATGTGTACATGTGTGTATATGCTCACAGTACATGAGATTACACACATGACAGCATGTTTACGTATGTACATGCACCCATGTGCGCACACATGTGTTGAGTATGCGCCTGTGGGTGTATAGTGTTCCTAACTGCCTAGAAGTTTTTGTAGACACTCTTGGGAGGGAGAAAAGAATCTGAGAAACACTACCGACATTTTTCAGTGTTTCCTTCTCAAAGAGAAGCCTGCCTGTCCTCAGGAACTGTTTTATCAGTAGTATCTCCAGGAAGTTGTATTCAGCCATGGAGAGGGTCAAAGTGCTACCCTGCGGGGACAACTGTCTTCATGGGATGGCCGGGAAGTGGAGGGGTCATCTGGGGACTGTGGCCATCCGGGTGAGAGGGAAGGAGAGAAGGAGGGGAAGGGAGAAAAAGAGGGTCGGGGGTGTGTGTGTGTCTGTGTGTGTGTGTGTGTGTGTGTGTCTGTATCTGTGTGTGTGTGTGTGTGTGTGTGTCTGTATCTGTGTGTGTGTGTGTGTGTGTCTGTATCTGTGTGTGTGTGTGTGTGTGTGTCTGTCTGTATCTGTGTGTGTGTGTGTATGTGTGTGTATGTGTGTGTGTTTGTATCTGTGTGTACCTGTGTGTGTGTGTGTGTGTCTGTGTATGTGTCTGTGTGTGTGTATCTGTGTGAGTCTGTGTGTCTGTGTGTGTGTGTCTGTCTGTATGTGTGTGCGTGTCTGTGTGTGTGTGTCTGTGTGTGTGTGTGTGTCTGTGTGTGTGTGTGTATCTGTGTGTGTTTGTATCTGTGTGTGTCTGTGTGTGTGTGTGTCTGTATCTGTGTGTGTGTGTCTGTCTATATCTGTGTATGTGTCTGTGTGTGTGTCTGTGTATGTGTCTGTATGTGTCTGTATCTGTGTGTCTCTGTGTGTGTCTGTCTATATCTGTGTGTGTGTCTGTGTATGTGTCTGTGTGTCTGTGTGTGTGTGTCTGTGTGTGTGTCTGTGTGTCTGTGTGTGTGTGTCTGTCTGTATCTGTGTCTGTGTGTGTCTGTCTATATCTGTGTATGTGTCTGTGTGTGTGTCTGTGTATGTGTCTGTATGTGTCTGTATCTGTGTGTCTGTGTGTCTCTGTGTGTGTCTGTATCTGTGTGTGTGTGTCTGTGTGTGTGTATCTGTGTATGTCTGTATCTGTGTGTGTGTGTGTGTGTGTGTACACATCTCTGTTTTGGGGAGAATAACAACTAGTTTGTTATTCTGTTTTCCTTCTAGTTATTAATTTCTGTTATTTCTAGTTTGTTATCTATTTTTCTTTTCAGGAAGTTGTTTCATTTAACTGGTGAATATTTGCTGTGAGTCTGTGGGTTCCAGTGGGGAGGGGGCTCTATTCTCCTCAGAGTAGAGGGGTCTCAGTGTGAGGTTTAGGGGTGGAACTACCCCAAGTTTGGGTGGCAATTTTGGCTCTGGACCCTCCAGAAGATGGCATTTGCCTAAATTTCCAGTTCCTTCTGAACACAGGGCTATTTATCATCCTATGCATGGGATTAAGCCAGGGAGAATTCACCCTGCAAGGCCACATACAAGAGAGACAGTCAGCAGGTAAGGAGGCACAGGTAAGTCTGACTTGATGCTAGTCACACAATACAGTCAAGTACGTGAGCACAGAGTACAGAGCACAGGGCACAGGACACAGGACACAGGACACAGGGCTGGGAAAGGTTGGGGAATACAGTGGCTCTGAATCAAAAAATCTGCATCAAAAGGATGCAGGGAGGTCAAGGTTGTCAATCACTCTAACCTGGAACATTCTTGCCCATGGTCTGAAATGAAAAGAGAATTCCCTGCAAGGCAATCACTTCTCTTTAAGCCTACATGGTAGTTTAAGTAAACTTCCCTGAAATGATTAAGAGAGGAAAAGAAAAGGTTTTTGAAGGCCAGTGTTTCTTTGAGAGGACTATACTTTCGTGTGTTTTCTAAAAGCTTGCCCCACAAAGACTCATACCTCACGGTTCCACTTTAGCTACCATCTAGCATCTATTTTAACAAAACCCATGTCCTCGCTGCTCTACCAGCATCACACAGAAGTCCATCCCTGCACGCAGATGACTTCCCGATGCTTCCCAGGACTCGGGGCTCTGCAGACCTGAGCTTGAGAGGGGGGTAGGCCAAGCTCTGTGCACCTTACATTCAGTCTTCCGTCACTCTGCCTCTTTTTCCCAGAAGCAGGAAGTTTTTCTTCCATGTTCCCTTTTAATGTCAAGCTTGTCATTTTTACGCTCAAAGTTCCTCAGTCAGAAAGTTGTCTTTTTTCCTTCTCAAAACCTCTGGTTCTAGTAGAAGGTCATGGAAGGCTTCTTCGCAGCAGAGGCCCTGGTCCTGGCTTCGTCTGGAACCAGCAAGCATGGTGGATCCACCGCTAGGTCCAAACTGAGCCCAAGAGCTGAGGAGACAGCTCTGGAGGAGTGCCATGAGGCAGCCTGCAAGGCTAGGGGCCTACAGCCTCCTTGTTGTCTTTTTAAATGCAAAATATTTCTCTAGAGTCAAGGGCCTCGAACCACTTTAGACAGCTTGCACAGGCAACACAAGAATGAGGCCTTTGTTATGTGGTCTTCACGAATGGCTTTTAAAGTAAATGGACCCTTTTTTTCCCCCAACAAAATCTCACATGTAGCCCAAAGACACAGGCAGAATAAACTGCTCTGCGGGGAGGGCCGAGCTGGTACCCAGAGGGACGCCTGCTCTGAGAACCCGAGGCTTTGCTGGAGTATGGAAGTCTGCAGGGTCAAACTTAAAGCTACAAAAGGGACAAAGTCGTGCTGGCCACTGTGCCCAGTGGAGTGGAAAGAAACTGAACATCTTCTCTCCTGAAGGGCTTGCGGGTCTGGACCCCTGGCCTGGGAATGCAGCGGCAAGCCATTCCCCAGATAAATTTATTAAGGTACAATATTTTGGGGAACACAATACCACCACATTTCCTCTCTTTTTGTCTAAAATTAAAAAAGGCTTATAACTAATACAAGAAAAACTATCCAATAAGTGTATACAATATATACAGCCCAAAATTACATTAATGATGTCTAGTCCATTAACATTTGACAGATTCAGATAAAAACTCTATTATATATATTAACAATGTCTAGTCAGTAACATTTGACAAATTCAGACAAAAAATTTTCATTACTTATTTAAAACAAGTAGTTCCTTTTTAAAAGTAGATTCCATAATCTCCCTTTTTATCTTATATTCATATTCTCTCTTTTTTCTTTTCATAATATATTCAGTAGTCTACCTTTTGTCATTTTTATATCTTCCCCTTTTTCCTCAGTGTAGATTCAGTGATCTACCTACTTATCCTATAATTTCTTTATCTTATTTCTCAGAGTAGATTCAATGATCTGTCTCATATCTTATTCTCTTTTTCTTTTTGCTTTCTAGGGTTGAAAGATATCTTTAGGGAATCCTGAAAAGAAAATTTTTGGGTTAATTGTCAAGCCCTGTATCATTTGTCCAGTCTCTGCATAATAGGAAAGTTCAGGGCTTGTCATAAGTCCTTGCTCGAGTAGTCTGTCAGGCTGGATCATCTCAGCTAGAGGAGCCAATGAACTTATGGGGGGTTTTGTTCTGAGAAACTGAGCTCAGAACTGTAGGTTCCTCAGTCTCTGAGGGGACCGAGGCAGAAGTAAGGCTTGCTCAGCTCAGTTTACTCCGAGAAAGGCGGGAGACCATGCTAAGGCAAGACCCTGTCCTTGGCAGTAGGTCATGCCATGATTTTGACTTGTGGGCTTTAGGCATTTTTCCTGGTCTAGGAAGCATCTCTGTGCTGTTAGACTGGCCAATGTGGACCCTTTTGGAAATGTTGGTAGACAGGGTTTAAGCAAGTTTCCTTCCCGTTTGTTCCTGTCTGCCGCTCTTCCTATGTCTCTTGGCATTTGTAGGGAATGTGGACCCTGTGACTTGAGGTCCTGTCTGTTCCCGCGGGCCTTAAAACCCACAGCTTTCAGTCCTCCAGTGACATCAGTCTCAGACAAGTTCTTCTGACCTTTGCTCTGTGGTCTTTGCTCTCGTGGAGTATTCTGGGGCAGCTAAGTTCTTCAGGTAGCCCATGTTGGGCAGGCGTCAAATGGCCACCCCCTGTGGCAGGACAGAGCTTAGCAGGTGACCCATGATCTTACCAGAGGCATGGCTGACCCGCACCTCAACCACCATCCACCTTGGTGCCCTGTCTCCAAGGACAGTTCACAGGGACAGTGACCGTCCGAGACCTACCTGCTCGTTGATCTGACACATGGTGAGGTTCTGGTCATCACAGGAACACGCCACACGGATGTACTTGAGCCAGCTGCCAGCCCCAGCCTGACTGGCATCCACACAGAACTTCTCGCTGCCCAAGTCTTCAGAGATCTGCTGGGGAAGAAGCACACTCAGGTCAGAGGTGCCCCATGTGCTGTGCCAGGCTGCACTGGCCTTAGAGGTTCAGGCAGGACGGCAGGTTGGCTGAGACCATCAGCCAGTCCTACGTATTGAGAGGCCCTGTCCACCCAGGCCACCTGGTCCTGGGAGCCTCCAGAGATTGGTGGAGAAGAGGGTGGCTTTCCTGTTCTTGCATAGCATCTCACAGTCAGGCCAAGCACTGACGAGTCTGCAGCATGGTGAAGCCACCCAGCAGGCTGTCCAGGTGTGAGAAAGCAGAGCCTTCTGAGCCTGACACAAGCCCTCCGCTAAGGACAGTGGGGGTGTTGGGCTAGAAAAAGCGTTTCTGAAGGTAAAGGTGTTACCAGGGTGTGCAGCTGCACGTGAGTCTGGGTGTGTGTATGTGAGCGCGTGTCCAAATGTGCATGTACCCATGTGCCAACGTGCACACGTGTGCCTGTGCAGACATGCTCCTGTCAGATAACACATCCCTTGAATGACAGAAAAACATTTCGTTTCCTTAAAATTGGAAAGTTTCAGTTTGATGCTGGCCAGCATGCAAACGTCATGCTTCCTCACCACGTCCTGCACAACAGGCGGGCCTGGCGGCGCCGGCTTTGCTCTGTTGTCCTGCTGTCCTCTGAACTCTCTTCTTCAGAGGCCTGTTTGCTGATCTGTCCCCCTCACCCTCCCCGACCCCCTCCCTGAGGGTTGCTTGCAAGAAGACCTGGACCACGGGCTGGCAGCTGCAGCTGCAACAGCGCCTTCCAGCTCATGCCTGCTCTGTTCAGTGCCTATGGTAGACCCCAATTCAAAGCCTTTGAAGCCAACAGCAACTGGGGTGGCCAACTAAAAGGCAGGATGGTTGAAGGGAGATTGGTGGGCAGGGGTGTCTAGGTGGGTAGGGTATCCAGGTGGAAGGAGTGGCCAGATGGGTAGGAGTCCAAGAAGGCAGGAGTAATGGGAGGCTGAAGGGCCCAGTGAAGGTGCAGCTCTACACAAGTAGACACTTCACCACCCAGCATGCACTTTTCAAGATCCTTGTACACCCATGGCAGACATTGGAATTCTTTTGAAAAGTTCAGCGTCAGCACAAAACAATGAAGCCACACGCTCTGCCTCTGTACACCTGTTCCCTTGTCCCCAAGGACTTTGGCACAAAGTCAGACTCTGAGCACATAGATGGGAAGTGGGTCTTTCTCCCCCTCAGATTGCATTGTCTCCCAGTTGAAATCTGTCAGTGACCCCTAGGTTTCTGACAAAGGGTGGCAGCCTGAAGGGACCTGGTAGGAGAGACTCAGAGTATGGAGCAGGAGGCCCTGCAGATCCCAGGGGCATGACAGCAGCCTTGTACGGTAACACATTGCAATGCCTGATCCCAGGGCCCCGTGTGCTCACTTGGGTGACCAGTGGATTCTCTGGAAGCATGAGGCAGCGGTTGCTCAACACTGACTCCATCAGGCAGAGACTTGGGTTGAGTAGCTAAGTCTTCAACCTCTTGCCCTCATGTTCCCTCAGCCCAGAATCAGCTAAGAGGCCTCACCACTCCAGGCTGGCTGTGGATGAGGCTGCAAAGCAACTGTATGCTGTGCCTGGGAAGGTGGAGGTGGAAGGTGCCCAAAGTGCAGATGTTGGGCTGAACAGAGTGCCCTGCACAGAGCCTGGGCCCCTCAGCCTGGGATACTGACTTTCTTCTCAAAACTGAAACACTAGAATTCACATGCTGTTGGTAAAGCTGGGAGCCCGACTGTACTCCTCTCTTAGCTTAGGGAGCAGGTCTTGAGAGGCAGGACCCTCAACTCTGGAGGCGTTAGGATAGAGATATGGCCTCCCCTCTCATCTGGGGCTTAGGGGGGTGCCCAGGGATATTTCCACAGGTGTCTGAACCCAGTAGTGGCTGTCTCACCCTAGCCAGGACGCTGGGAGTTCACTCAAGGTCCTGCTACTCAGGGGTTAGATGAAGCCTTCCCTACTCCTTACACACCCTTGGAGGTCACTGCCTGCCATGCTCTAATCCAAGGCCAGCACAGCCACACCCCTGGGTGACCCCTACAGCCTGGAGAGGATGAAGACAGAGTGAACAGTGGCCATATGTTGAGGCCATGTTCAGGAGGGCAGGTCTCCCATTCTTAAGAAGTGGGCTCAGGCCACCAAGGCCAAATAGGGAGACCCCTCCTTAGGCATTCAGACATCTTAGTCTCTTCCCAACTGAGGACTCTGCAGGAAGCTGCTGAGGACTTCAGCCCACAGGTTTGGACCTCTACCCGATAAGGCAGCTCACACCTCCCCCGCCCCAGACATAGGGATTAAGAAGGGCTAACTGCCAAGAGACCAGAGGACCCCTCCCTCACTCCCAGAGGGGCCAGGATTTCCTGTGGATCCCTGCCACACAGACCTCTAGGCAGATGCTGCAGAATCCCAGGTCCTGTCCCTCACTATATGTGTCTCTTTCTCATTTTTCTGTCTGTTTTTTTCCCCCCTTTATGGTTCAGGGCCCGGGATAGCTAGTTAGTAGTGCTGAGAATGAGCAGTCTTCACACAGGGCTCTGGCCCCAAGACTTTCCTGGGGTTTGGCTGTTGATGTCTCAAAGCTGAGGCCTATTTCCCCAAGAACAATCTTTACTAATTAGCTAGTAATGACTCTGTTAAAGTGCTTGGGAGCTTGCTGAGATCCAGCTAGTCATATGGATACATGTGCATTCATGCAAAGAGTGTACATGTGTGCATATGCTTATGGCTATACATATACAGCTATGTACCCCATGTGTAAACATGTGTTATCTATATATATATGCATGTGCTCATGTGTATACACAGGAATCTTTACTTATGTGTGTGCACATGTGCACGTGTGTGCTCAGGGGTCATAGTCATGGGTCAGCTGGTATATTTTTGAAAAAGACCAAGTCGTTCCTGTGAGAAGGTGACTTGTCGCTGTTGCTGTTGGTCCTAGTCCGTGACCTGCCCAGGCTTCCATCCCTCACTAGCTCCTGACCCTCAGGATGACTGGCTTCCTGGTGGTCCCTAAAGACTTGAGGAAGACCCTTCTCCAGTGTGGTCACCATGAGCCTGTTGCTCCTTCTCTCAGAGACCAGATTCTCTATATCCGAGGGGTGCCCAGCGAATACTAAACTGCTCCTCCCAGGGAGGGAGGAGCTACCATCCCAGGCCTGAACAGCAATGGACACACTAGGGGAGGGGTGGCATTCTATAAGATCTGGAACCCACCAAGCAGGCCTGGCTCCTCACGGGTCCCTGGCATCGCTGCCTCTGAAGCAGGCCTTTGATGCACTCACGGAAATGGAGCCGTAGTGACACTCCCTGGCTGAGGGGACCTCAGGTGGCCCACTGGGACGCTGACCAGTATTTGCGGGGCTCAGGGGTTCTCGGGATGCTGAGAGGAAGGCCTGGGTGTTAAGGCCACAGCCACAGGCAGCTGAGCACATGTCCCTGACTGCACTGGGGGTAGCAAGTGCCAAGGCCCTGGTGCCAGAGGCAACAGCATTGGCCAAGCCTTTCCGATCTGGAGTTGGGCCTCTGTTTGCACCTAAGCTCTGGCAGGAGCTGTGTAGCTCTGAGAGTTCCGAGGATATCTGAGAGCTCACAGGGGGCAAGGGAATGAGGACTCAGGCGTTAGGCTCTGCTCGTACATGAGACTTGAAGAGTCGTGATCGAGGGTGGGGGTGTTCTCTTGGCTGGTTTCGTGTGGCTGTGGAGCTGAACCTCCGTCCAGATTTAGAGTCTGGGCCCTACCCACTTGAAAGTCTGGCTCTGGAGTTGTTGGGGTTGAACCTGTGGACTCGCATAACTGCTGGTGGAAGTGGTCCTTCTGCCCATTTGCCCCCACTTGGCCTCTCGGCCCCCATGTTCCTGCCAGCTTCCCCAGCTCATCAATCACCCCCATCAGAAATGCTGAGTTAAGAAACGAAGGGATGGAAAAAAAAATCCTCTTACCCTTGACAATTTTTTTTGCACATCATTTGAGGTTTCCTGCACTTTTAATTTGTGGCTCTCTGCTGGGCTAACTCTTTCACATTTAATGGGCATGCCAGGGGCTGGCTCCGTATGGGATGTGCACACAGGCGGGAGTGTAGAGCGTCTGTCGTCAGCTCACCTAATGGATTCCCAGCCTGCAGGAAGGAGTGAGGCCTAGGAGTCACCTTATTGGCCTGTGCCCTATGGCTGCAGCATGCTCCCTAGAAGCCTATGGTGTGGTGGGTATCTGCAGGACTGTTGCACGTGTCCCACTACCCTCTTCCACATCTTCATGCACACCTGGGCACACATACTACACAAACACATATGCACACACAGATACATAGAGGCATATGTGTGAGCACACATACAATGGTTATGATTTATGACATTCACAAGGAGCCAAAACAGAAAGTCCATTCTTGTGACAGAGAGAGGAGAGTAGGCCTTCTGGAGACACCTCGGTGTGGCGGACATGGAACCTGAATGAGCTCATAAATCTGAACCTGACGCTCATTATGGGCTTGGTGGTGACATGACCAAGTGCTAAGCAGAAACACGGAGGCAGGATGGGGTGTACTGCTGCCAGCAGACAGGGGCCTGGCTGCGGAGACCAGGAGGTCAGGGGTCCATCTGTTCAAGATGAGAGGGAGGGAATCAGAACAGGAGGGAGAGTGGTGGAGTGTGTTTTCTGGGACTCACTCCTGGAAGAAGTTGTCTGGGACTTTCTATCCCCCTCTGGCCTTGGCCTCCACTGGACAGTTGCCAGGGTAGTGGTGCATAGTGGAGGCAAGGGTAGAGTTACAGGGTCTTGGACAGGCCCCAGAGCATGGCTCAGGGTTTGGATGCTGCAGAAAGAGGATTGCTGCCTGACCAGGGACTCTGCTGACAGGTGCTGGTGACATCCCAATTCCACACCTGGAGAACTTGGCTCCTGTGTCAGTCACAGGCAGATCCTCTCGGTTCGAAGTCACATCAAGAAATGCATGTCACAAAAATTCACTGAAGTCCATATTTTC